AAAGTAACTATTATGACAGCCTCTTTGGGAAGTCACATGTATACCAAGATGTAAGGGACAAGCTTCCCAAAGAGCTCTCTCTAGGGGTCTTTCCCAGTCCTCCACCCTGGAAATGAGCCTTTCTAAAAATCTTTACCAAAGGGCCAGGGATTTAGCTCAGTGGTTTCACTGCCTGCTGCACAAGCGCAAGGACCCAAGATCGATCCCCTGTACCAAAAAATAAAAATAAAAATCTTTACCATGGACATGGTAGGGGGGCGATATTTAGCTCAGTGGTTCCCCCGCCTGCCTCCCAAGCAGAAGGTCCTGAGTTCGATCCCTGGTACCAAAAAAAAAAAAGAAAGTATCAAAATCCTTACCTGTTCTCTCAGTTTGTCTACTTTTTGTTTTTCGGAACTGGGCATGGAACCCATTATGCTACATCCCCAACCCTTTTTATGTTTTATTTTGTGGCAGTCTCATTAAGTTGCCTAGGCTAGGCTCGAACTTGCGATCCTCCTGCATTAGCCTCCCCAGTAGCTAGCCTGTGCCGCCATACCCTGCACATTCACTCCTTCTTGACATGGATGCTGCGTATTTGAATAGTCCATCACTTTTTCTTTTATGCAGCAGTGGCTTCCTTTGAGAATCTGCCCAAGGCCAAGGATCCTTTCCCCGGAATGTGTACATGTTCACATATACAGTGTGCTGCTTTGAGCTCACGTCTCACTTGGACAAGGGGAAATCTAGAAGGTACTGAGCTTGGCTGAATCAAATGGGAAGGGAAGTCAAGACATCGTATATCTGACTTTGTTTGGGGGCTTTGAACTGACCTGATGAGGGTAGCATGGTCCAACCAAAGGTCACTTGCAAAGGAAGCTGATTTCAGGCAGCCATGGCCTAACCAGACACCGAGGGTCTGTGATTGTGTTTGCTTCTTATCTTGAGCCTGAACTTAGACCCTGTGCTTAGAATAAATACCCAAGCAGCCGATTACCGTGTAGTGTAGGGGCTGCTGGGAGGAAGGAGCACTGTTTGGGGGAGCTGCAGCCCCACAGCAGCTCCCGCTACTGACTGTCTGGCCTTAGTCCAGGAAGAGCTGGCTGGGTAATACTCATGAGGGGCTCGAAACCCTTCTGTGGTTCCCCATTGCCCTGAGGGCAGGGCAGCTACTTGAGCTGGGACCCCACCTTTCCAAGCTGCTTTGTCTAGGCACACCCAGACCTGCTGGGCTGTTCCTGCTGCTACAGATTCCACAGTGGACACGTGTGGCCTTGCAGATGCTGTTTCTGCTACAGAGCATCCCTCCCTAAATTCCTAGATTTCCTTTCAAAACTTGGTTCTCTTTCTCCTATCCACCATGCTACAAAAAAGCAAAGCAGTTTCCAGTAACAAAAAGTAGGTAGATGGGTAGAAAAAAATAAGATGTTTTCAGAAAGGGACATATCGAAAGTCTTCTAGTCTCAGATTTATACTATTTCAATAAGGCCCCAGGGTTGGAGGACTTTGTCAAACTCAGCTTTTTCTTATCCATGGACCCAGAGAGGGGAGGTGATTTATTCAGGCTCTGAGTGCCTTCCATGAGCAAATCTCTGGGGCTGTGAAGGTAGCTGAGTCCTCTCTCTCCAGGGAATGAGCCAGAGAAGGGGTCATAGTGTGAAAATCTCAAGCCAGGCTCACCTCCGAGAGGCCAGCCCATCCCCTGGCGGAAGATAGGGCTCCCCCACATCCCTCTGTGGCATTTGTCACAGCCTGGAGTTCAGTAGTTGTGTTAGTGTTTACTACCTGCTCTCTCTCACTGACCACAGGCTCCATGACCCTGAGTGATGTGATGCATCTTATTTCTTGTTGTTGTTTTTTATTTGGTACTGGGGATCGAACTCGGGACCTTGCAATTTCGAGGCAGGCGCTGGAACCACCGAGCTAAATCCTCGGCCCTATCTTATTTCCTTATAACAGCTTTATTGAGAGATATTCACATGCCATAAAATTCACATTTTAAAATGTGCAGTTCCTTTTTTAATAAGGTCACAAAGCAGTACAGCCATCGCCATTATCTAATTCCAGAGTGGTTTCATCACTCAGGAAACATGCCAGATAACCATTAGCAGTCATCCCTCACTAGCCCCTACCCCAGCCTCTGTCACCCACTAAACTGTGTTCTGTTTGTGTGGATTGACTGTTCTGGACATTTCTCGTAAATGGGATTATACGACAGGTGGCCTCTTCTGCCGACCTTTTTTCATTCGGCACGTTTCCAGGGTCTGTCCCTGGGTAACATGAATGGTATTCCTTTGCGTGGGTATATTGCTTATCCATTTATCAGTTGATAGACATTCCTTTTGGGGGCTGTTATAAGTAATGCTACTGTGAATATTCACATACAGGTTTTTGCGTGGCCTTGTGTTCTCATTTCTCCTAGGTGTCTACCACAGATTGGAATTGCAGGATCATATGGTGTAACATGTGAGTTTAACATCCTGAGATCCTGCCAAACTTTCCCACAGTGACTGCAACTTTTTCCTTTCTCACCAGCAGTCTAGGAGGTTTCCCATTTGCCCACATCCTCACAACACTTGTTTACTTTGAGTTTGTGTATACATTTTTTGTCACAGCCATCCCAGTGGGTGCCAGGTCGTAGTACCTCATTGTGGTTTCGATTTGTGCTTCCTGATGACCAGTGATATTGGGCATCTTTTCACGTGCTTGTTGTCCATTTTTAACCTTCTTTGGAGAAATGTCTGTTCGATCCTTTGTCCTTTTTTAAATTAGGCTGTTTCTGTTTTTATTGTTATACTGTAAAAGAGTTCTTTGTATGTTCTAGATACAGTTTCTTAGGAACACATGGTTTTCAAATATTTCCCATTCTGTGATTTACCTTTTCACTTTCTTGATGGTATCTTTTTTTTTTTTTTCTTGGTACTGGGGAATCGAACTTGGGACCTTGTGCTTGAAAGGCAGGCGGTGGAACCACTGAGCTAAATCCCCAGCCCTTGATAGAACCACATTTTTTTTTTTTTGTAC